TATATATATATATATATAGATACATTTATATTATTATATCATATTTTTGAATTAAAGGGTTTAAATATTAATTATTAAATTAAATTTAAATATTAAACACAAATAATTTTACCTTTTCAATCCGTGAAGTATTTTTTTTAACACATTCTATTTATTATTTTTATATATTTTCGTGTATATATATTTATCTCATATGTCTATATATATATATATATATATACATTTTTGTTATTTTCGTATATATATATTTGTTATTTTCGTATATATGTATATATATATATATATTTATATATATAATCGATTAAAAGAAACTTAACATGAAATTGTTATATATGTTTGTAGAAAAGGTACAGGTGACTACTTCATTAAATATTACCAAGTTGATCGCCCATGACTCTGTTGATGAGATCCGTTAGTTTTGGAGAAGGTAAAATTATATATTTTGGGAGATATTATATGTTGCTGTTTCGCGTATAACTACTAGAAGGGAGTTGAAGATATTAGTTTGTGAGAATGAAAAGTTGCCCAATAATCAAACTCATAATGTTATGTACAAAGATGTCTTTAATAATATATGATTGTTTCTTTGTGGAATAATATTTTTATTGTACAATTTTCCTCCGTATTGTAAAACTTTTATATTGCATATTGCATCTTATAATATAATAATCCCAAAGTTAATATATCCCGTTTCGCACAGGTTACGTACTATATATACCCCGTAATTTTTTTGTTGTTTATTTATATACTTATAAGGCTGGATAAGTGTCCAAAAAACTGTACATCCCGTGCATCGCACGGGCTCTGTACTAGTAGATACAAAATACTATCGACAAAGAAAAAGTGCATAAATTGATAATAGAGTTTGCAATATTGCCTACATCAATAGATGTGAATATAAATGACTGAGAAAGAAAAAGAAAACACAAAGTTGATAATGAAGTTCGACCAATATTGTTAACCGTAGATATCGAAATTTTAATATTTTATTTACTAGTGTCTTTATGTATTTTTTGACATAAATCCAATATAAACAAGATATTTAATTAATAAAGTAAATATTTCTTGCCTACCAAGTCAATCTTAAGATAAGGAGAAAAATCTTTGAATAAAGAAAAAGATTATATAGAATCATGAAGTACCAATTAAACGATAGCTCTCCTCAAAGCCACAAAAAAAAAAAAACCTCATAAATTAAAGTGTCAAGTTAAGAGCTCCCGAGAACCCTCTTAAAGATCTACACTAATATACATCTGATCTTATATTTACTTAATAATTATATTTAATTAATTAAAGAAACATATATTGTAAAATAAATGAAATACCTAACAAATCCTTATTTTGACATATTTTTAATGACAAAATAATAATACACTAATACCCATCCTAGCTTATATTTTTTATTAATATTTAATTAGTCAAATACAAATACACGAACAAAATATTTCACATCTCCTAAAAATGAACCACAATATTCTCGCACTTTCTTCCACATATCTCCCAAGATGTTTTCTTCCATATCTCTTAAAAATCAACACAACCTCAATCTAAACAATAAAGCTTGAATTAAGATATAATTTTTAATACGTCCTTATTTTTAATATAATTTTAATGGTAAATCATAATCATATTTAATAATTCTAATATATAAAAATTATTTAAAGAAAATTGATCCAAAAGGACAATATAACAAATACTTATTAAAAATTTAAATATTTTCAATTATTTGTATATTTATCTACAACTTTGACAAAATGACGTTCTTGGAGATCCAAGGACATTCAAGAGATCGACATTCAAACCGAAATCAAGTATCCTAGCCTTTGAAGTAAGCACAATGGAGAATAATGCCAACAAGAAGAAAAAGAGGTGACGACTCTTTCCCAATAAGTAAAGAGACGACATCCACTAATCTCAATCATTCTAACAATATCAACGGTGTTTAAACGACATTCAAGCCGCGATCGCCGAGAAGTTCAAGCAACATAGCGTTTAATCTGAAAAAAATTCTCAAACCCTCCAGTCAACGTTATTCAAGTTCAAATCCGTCTTTTAGATCATACTCAAGATCAAGCCCGGATGATTCAACCATTAAATCCATCTTTAAGGTTCCAATCCATAAATTCATGAAGAGAATAATCAGATTAGATAAACAGAGATTGTACAAGCAATATCGTTTAATCAAAACATATTTAAGTTGTACAAATGATTAATGTTTTTCATAAAACTAGTGTTGCAACCCGTGCGATACACATTATAGAAAAAAAATTCTGGAACAATATAAGGGAATAATATGGACAAAACACAAAATTTGAAAAATAAAATCATATGCAAATTATAGAAAAAAAATTAATAAATAGATTTATATGGAACGATTTAAAAGTATTAAATATGTATATATATATGGTAATATGAACCTAAGAAAATTAGTAATTTTTATCCAAGCCATATTACAAAGCATAATATTTTGTCATGTAAGATTACGAAACGTGTGAAACTGTCACTTAGGCTCAACGCGTTCTAAAATTATATATAAGAGGGATGTTGTGATTCACGTAGTACATATTTAAACAAATGGCAATATATTAAAATTATAAATTATATATTTAAAGATAAATTAAATATTTATTACTTTTTACATATTTATAAAAAAATACAATAATTTTTTAAATCTTAAATTAATTGATTGTTTATGCAATTGACATGATGATGCAATACCACACCATGAGTTACTACATTGTTGAGATATTTGCATATCAATTAATGTTTTGGTAGTATTTTATCCATAACTTATAATATCATAAGCGGATGTTGATATAATTATATTTATATGTTGTTAAACAATTATAACACAATTTGAGTAATCTTGCAATATCATTATAATTATATGAAAATAGTTAAAATTATTTCCAATATCAATATAATTATTTGAGTAATCTTGCAATTTAATCACCACCTTTATAATTTAGTAATTTAATACACCACTTTGACTATTTTTTGCAATTCGAATCAGGGCCCAATTTCGGGCTTTTTGTGCTGACATGGCATTTTACGGCTGACGTTACGTTGACATGGCGTTCAGCGTGTCAATGACATGGCGTTTTGCGCTGACATGGCATTCCATGGCATTCCATGTGTAAATTCGATACAAAAAAATTTATGTTGGTCATGGAATTCAAACCAGGTATGTGAAAGTTGCATGATAACTCCTCCACCACCACACCAATCCAAGTTAGGTGATAAATTTGACAGCGTTAATATATAGACATTATATATGAATAAATCAAATCAAATTTAAAAGATAATATAAATTATATTAAATTAAATTAATAAAATATAAAATTATAATACAATAAATTATATAAAATTAAACGAAAATAACATAAATTAAAATAAACAAGATAATTAAAATATATAGCTTTCTTAATTCATATTTTATGTTAGAGTAAAACATATTAATAATATTTGATAATAATATTTCATATTTCATTATATTCATTTAAATTTTTGTTGATTTTAGGTTAATGTCTCATAATAAGCTATTATATTTATTATTTTATCTTATTTTATTTTACTTTACCTTTTTTATACTTTATTATCTTATATTATATTATTTTTATTATGTTAATGGTGTTCTTCAGTTTAGTTTATTTTTAATTTAAGTTTACATTATTATTTTTCATTTGAAAATTTATATAATTAATTATATTTAACAAATAATAAATGTATAAATTTATTTAAATTTAGTTTAATCATTTTACTACAATACGTTTTAACTTAATTTATTTTTATTACTTTATTTTTATTTATTTTTTATAATCTAATTTATTTAATTTATATTTTATTAATTCACTTTAATATAATTTTCATTATCATTTAAATTTAATTTGATTTATTTATATATATATATATATATAAATAGTTATTAGAATCACTGACTAAATCTGATTGGTGTGGTGGTTGTAGAGCTACAATGCAATCTCAATGTCTAAAGTCCAAATATCTTCACCAACATTTTTTTTTTTAATTCCAACTAACACGCGGGACGCCCTGTCAGCAAAAAAACGCCATGTCATTGACACGTGGAATGCCACGTCAGCCGTAAAATGTCATGTTAGCACAAAAAACTCGAAATTGGGCCATGTGATTCGAATTGCAAAAAATAGTCAAAGTGGTGTATTAAATTGCTAAATTGCAAAGGTGATGATTAAAATGCAAAAAATGAAAGGTGGTGCATTAATATGCAATCTTGCGTAATTATTAGATATTTTCTCTAAAAAATCCCCCTATATATTAATTCAGAACGTCCTGAGCCTAAGTGACAGACTCGCATGCTTCAAAATCTTATATGCCAAAATTACATGTTTTGTTATTAGACTTGGGTATATTTCAATTTACTCTAATCTAAAAATAATTAGGTCCAGATTATCCATAAATATGTTAATTATTGATGGTCATGTTAAATGTATTAATTGCATTTTACATTTCTTATTATAACCGTTGAATTATAAATGTATTTAAAAGTTTATTTTGTGTTTTTTTTTAATCATTTTTACACATTATTGTGACGGCTTCATCCCCGATCAACTGGTAGTTTCGATTTAACATCCATATTGTATGTGTAAAAAAAATCTAATTATATTTATCTTGATAACAATAATAAAATTATTTTTAATATTAATTAGAAAAATAAAATTATTTATCAATTAATATATTTATTTTCCAAGTGATTATATGATTTAAGTCATAAAAATTACAATAATATAACACACATAAGTCGTACAAGTAACAAGTGCCATAATAAAACATATAATAATATATATTTTTTGTTAAAACAACAATAAAATTTAAAATAATTTTTTTCATTAATTTTAAAATTTGAAATATAATTTTTTAACAAACACCCTTGTAATATACCAGTATTGCACTTGTAGATAATTATTGGCCCGGTGGGAATGGGCCTAAACGAGGCCATCCGCGGGCTGGCCCGTCCATTATTAAAAAGAAAATATAAAAGACCAAGTAACTCATTCGCTCCTCATTCTCAAGTCATATCCCTGCGCCTCCACAGCAAACCCTAATCGCCCAATAGCTAAGTTTGAACTTCGAACTCCGTGTAGAGACGCCGGGAGAACGGAGCATTTAGATCGTTGTCGTGTTAAGCCGCAAAATCACAAGGTAAGGATTTTTGAAAAGGCTCGTTCATAATTATGAGTCGAGCATTGAAGTCTGCAGATTATGTTATGTCTTTAGAGATGATAGGTAAGGTCGTGTATGGTGATTGTATTAACAGGTGATGGTGATGATTGATGTGTGATTGTTTTGTTTTGATTTTTTTTTTTCATCTTTTGCTGAGTTATTGAGCCCAATAATTTGTAAAGTCATGTATGCCAGTCTCTATTGTTGATTTTTTTTTTTTTTAAAATTATTTTTTATGTGCAGTTACATCTTGATGGCGACTTTTGCCAGACCAGAAAATGCACTCAAGAGAGCTGAAGGTAAGCTGAAATTTATGAATCTCATGAATTACTACTAAGAAAACCGTGCTTAGTGCTTTTCCTATTTTGTTTGTGCCACAACCGATTTCCGACTAGTTATCTAACGAAAAGATAGCGATGGTTTATGTTTGGGCAATCAAAACGACTATCATTAGTTTTCTGAAATTGATGCGATCACAGCAGTTTAAGCTAATGATATGAATTCTAGTGACTGAACCATCTTAATCTTTCACGTGTCCACCATTGCTTGTGTTGTATAGTCACACTAGTAAATGTTATTATGTTTACATATTCATATTATACATGCTGATGCAGAGTTGATAAACGTGGGGCAGACGCAAGAAGCCCTGGAGACTCTTCACAGTTTTATTACCACAAGGAGGTATAGAGCTTGGACTAAAACTCATGAGAGGATAATGTTCAAATATGTCGAGCTATGCGTCGACATGAGAAGGGGAAGGCATGCTAAAGATGGCCTTATCCAGTATCGTGGCATCTGCCAACAGGTTAATATTACTTCTCTAGAGGAAGTGATAAAGCATTTCATGCAGTTGGCCACTGAGAAGGCTGAGCTTGCACGTAATCAAGCTGAGGCTCTGGAAGAGGCCTTGGATATTGATGACTTAGAAGCCGATAAAAGGCCAGAAGATCTGATGCTAAGCTATGTTAGCGGCGAGAAAGGAAAAGACAGATCTGACCGCGAACTCGTTACTCCATGGTTTAAGTTTTTGTGGGAAACTTACAGAACCGTTTTGGAAATTCTCCGAAACAACTCAAGACTTGAATCTCTGTATGCTGTAAGTTTTGTCCTATAAGTGTGTATTTTGATTTGTGATTTCCTTTCACTGAATTGTAACTGCAGTTGTATTACTAGCTAGTTCATGTTAACCTCTTGGTGTAATGTGCTTGCAATATTTGTTGCTATTATTTTGACAAAGTTTCTAAAACAACAAATGCTGAATTTGCTATAATTGCTAAATCCTTTTGCCCCTTCATATATATTAAGTATTTTTCGTTGCTTTCTTTCATAGGACTTGTTATTTATCAGTTAATTTTGGTTAAAAGTCTTTTTGAGTGGGTAGTAAAAGCTTATATGTTGTTAATTGAAGGTCTCAAGTCCTTGATACATACATTCCAATTGATTTTCATTGTGCTTCTATTTAAATTTTCAGATGACCGCACATCGTGCCTTCAAGTTTTGCAAGCAATACAAGCGTACGACAGAGTTTCGGAGACTATGTGAAATAATTCGGAATCATCTGGCAAACCTGAACAAGTATAGGGACCAACGGGATAGGCCTGATCTTACCGCTCCTGAAAGCTTGAAGTTTTATCTTGATACCAGATTTGAGCAACTTAAAGTTGCTACTGAACTTGAACTTTGGCAGGTTTGTTGTGCTCTTTTTACTTATACATGCAGTCCCAAATGAGTGATAGGTTTGTGATAACTTGTACACCGGATTTATGATTCTCTATAAGTTACTTAATTTTTGTTGCTTCTGGATTTGCAGGAGGCATTTCGTTCAATTGAGGACATACATGGATTGATGTCCATTGTTAAGAAAACTCCTAAATCTTCTGCGTTGGTTGTTTTCTATTCTAAGCTTTCCGAAATTTTCTGGATGTCATCCAGCCATCTTTATCACGCTTATGCATGGCTTAAGCTTTTCACACTTCAGAAAAGCTTTAACAAGCACCTAGATCAGAAGGATTTACAGTTAATAGCATCATCAGTTGTTTTAGCTGCACTTTCTGTACCTCCTTATGACCGCTCATATGGTGCATCTCATTTGGAGCTCGAAAATGAGAAAGAGCGGAATTTAAGAGTTGCAAACCTTATCGCTTTTGATGTTGAATCCAAACCTGAGAATAGAGAAGTGGTAACAGTCTTGGACGAACCTTTTGCTTCATTATTGCTATTTAATTGGTTGCCTTTTTTATTTAATCTTTTTTTTTTTTTTTTTTTTTTTTTTTTTTTTTTTTTTTTTTTTTTTTTTTTTTTTTTTTTTTGTTTCAGCTTTCAAGGTCATCACTGCTCTTGGAATTGGTAAGCTACAACAATATCAATTGATCTGACACACTTGAATTCAATGGAATTGCTTTAAATTCAAGCATCTCACCCAACTTGTTATACTGCCCAGGATGAAACTGCACTGGCATCCTGGTTCACTGATTATGCATTGTTTATTTCATTTATCGTGTTCCTAACTTTTCTCTCTGGCCTCTCTTTAGGTATCCAAAGGAGTGATGAACTGTGTTAGCCAGGAAGTGAAGGATCTTTACCATATCTTGGAGCACGAAAATCTTCCTTTTGACCTGACTCTGAAAGTGCAACCCTTGTTATCGAAAATTTCTAAGCTTGGTGGTAAACTTGCTTCTGCATCTTCTGTACCAGAATTGCAATTCTCTCAATATGTTCCGTCTCTGGAGAAACTTTCTGCTCTGAGGTTGCTGCAACGGGTATGTATTCTCACCTCGTCGTGCTGCTTTCCGTTCAAATAATTGGATGCCATTGGACATTTCCAATAAAATTCTCTCCAGTAATTTTTCAAATGCTCACTTTATTTTTGACCTATATTTTTTACACCCACCAACTTTTCAACGCATATTCAAAATAAAAATCACCAAATCACTAATTATTAATACACATTTTCTATAAATTATCACTGTTGACCCACCCTCATTACTAACCAATCATATACAACCATTAATTCACTACCATAGTATCCCATTGCCATTTGTATATTCTCAAGATTCATTTACTTACCTGATCAAAGAAAATTGTAATGTTTAAATAGCAGTGATACCAAATACTTTGTTCACTCTTTTAGCCTTTTGTCGTTCTGGTTATTGGAATTGATCATTCTTTCTGTATATTCTATTTTCAGGTTTCACAGGTGTACCAGTCCATGAATATTGACAACTTATCAAGGATGATTCCTTTCTTTGATTTTCCTACCGTTGAGAAAATATCAGTGGATGCAGTCAAGAATAATTTTTTAGCAATGAAAGTGGATTACAGGAAAGGTGCCATTTTCTTTGGTAATAAGGTAACCATTTCATTCTTGATTCTCCTATTCTCCAGCAACTCTTGTTCATTTTCATAGTGTTCTTGTAATTATTTGTGCATTGCTCGTGATAAAAAAAAGATTTTATTATGTTAAATATCTCAATGTAGTTAAATTGGATTATAATTACTCATATTTTTTTTTCAAGTAAAAAGTGAAATAAAACATGAATCGCAGGCCATTTGTAGAAGATTCATTTGGAAAGTACCTCGACCTTTTACTTTTCAGACATTTCATGTCCTCATTATTGGCCAATCTAAATCTCTATTTTTTTATTTAACCACGTATACTAACAATTTTGCCTTTAAAATTAATTTTAGTGTAGTTTTTTGGCAACTCATTTTCTTACAAAACATCTTGCTTTGGGCCTATGAAATATCTGAGACATTGTGCATTGTCAATTCTACTTTTCTCGGAGGCATTCTGTAATTTAACCTGAATGTTTATGGTGAGGTTTAAATGTCTATCCTTATGCATGCTTGATCCTAAACAATAAAATTAGGTAAAATAATATATGAATGAAAGTAATATTCGGTAATATTATATGACACTCTCAAACACCAAATAGACAATCCTTGAAAAGTGCAATCTATTTAGTCCTGACTGAATTATGTTCCAGTCGGTTGCGTGTTTTTTACTTAAGTTTACTTTTTTATTTCTACCCTAGGGTCTTGAATCAGAAGGCTTAAGGGACCACCTGTCAACATTTGCCGAGTCTCTTGGCAAAGCAAGGGTCATGATCTATCCTCCTGCAAAGAGAGTCTCTAAATTGGGGGAAAGGCTTACAGATTTGGTGGAAGTGGTTGAGAAAGAACACAAGCGACTTCTTGCTCGCAAATCAATAATTGAAAAGCGCAAAGAAGAACAAGAACGCCAGCTTTTAGAAATGGTATGGCTTATTTAGCTTCATTTTCTTGTTGAATTTGCTAGTTGTTTTGTTACTTAAGAGGTGTTGAAGATGTCTAATTTTGTTATGTTGCTTTTGATTGCTGAAGGAACGAGAAGAGGAAGCCAAGAGGCTGAAATTACAGAAGATAACTGAGGAGGCGGAACAGAAAAGGCTTGCTATTGAATTTGAGCAAATGAAGAATGAAAGAATCCGGAGGGAAATCGAGGAGCGTGCGATGGAAGAAGCTCAAACTTTGCTGCTAGAAGCTAAAAATCGTAATAAGAAGAAAGGAAAGAAACCTGGGATAGATGGAGTGAGTTGGCTGGCTGATCTCTACATTTTGTTTCTCCATTCTATTTTTAGATCTGAATGATTTCTTTAATTAATTTCATTTGGATTCAGGAAAATTTAACAAGGGAGGAGTTGATGGAGCTTGCCCGTAATGATTTACTCAAGGAGAAGCAAGAAATGGAGAAAAAGTTAGTGAAACTTGGCAAGACCATGGATTACTTGGAGAGGGCAAAAAGAGAGGAGGCAGCCCCACTTATTGAAGCCGCGTTCCAACAGCGGTTAGTTGAAGAAGAGGCTTTACACGAGCTTGAACAGCAGGTTTGAATTAGGGATCTTGTTCTGTGCTGGAATATATCTTTTTATATTTTGTCTTTAATTTTAATGCAAGAAAGAGGCTTTTTTATTCTTATTCTGAAGCTGCACTTGAATTTTTGCATTGCTATGGAATGATTTTTGAATTGTGTGTTTTTTCTTTGATAGTGTGTATTTGCTCATCTTATTTAACTTGATACAGAGAGAAGTCCATGCAAGCCGACAGCGGCATGCTGGAGATCTCGAGGAAAAACGGAGGCTAAGCAGGATGTTGGAAAACAAGGTTTTTATTCTTTTCATTTCCCCGCTTAATATCTGGTCTTGTTTCCTTACTTTTTATGGGATGATCAGATAACTCACGAAGATTACGTGCAATTACGGAAACTTCTATAGGAGTTCTGGAATTACTGAAAAATCTGAGGATGTTTTCCACATGACAGTTTTAACCCTTCATTTTCTTTCCTTTAGAAATTGGTAGATAAGTAAATTACAGTTGACATTCCAGAACTAGAACACATTAACTTCATTTTTTTGGGGGCTAATTTTGGCTGGAACTTGCGTATGTTTGACAGAAAATATTCCAAGAACGAGTGCTGAACCTTCGGAAATCCAAATATGAGTCGCTTAAAGCCGATAGAGAAAAGATGTTGGCAAGCATTATCCAGGAACGGAAAGAAGAACGCAAGGCCAATAGAAAGTTGATATATTTCTTGAGATGTGAAGAGGAGAGGCAGAAAAGGTTGCATGAAGAGGAGGAAGCACGCAAGCGCGAAGGTAAAAACCACTTTCATTTTCAGTATCAACAAGTATGAAGATAGCATATTGTCATAAATTTGGTTACATAGTAATTTGACGTGTTGGGCAGAGATGGAGCGGAGAAAGAAAGAAGAAGCTGAGAGAAAAGCAAAGCTTGATGAAATAGCCGAGAAGCAAAGGCAGAGGGAGAGAGAGTTGGAGGAGAAAGAGAGGCAGCGCAGGGAAGAAATCCTGGGGAGGTCCACGCCATCAAATACCCCAATTGCTCCTCCTAAGACTACTTCCGAACCACCACCTGTGGAGGCAGCAACACCACCGACAGCCGGAAAGTACGTGCCGAGGTTCAAAAGAGTGGCTTCTGAGGTCCCACCTCCTGAAACTGCCGACAGGTGGTCCGGCAACAGGCCGGCCGAAGAAAATCGAGCACCTCAAAATTGGCGGGATGAACGCCAAAGGCCTAGCTTCGGCGGTGGTGCCTCAAGGTCCACTTGGAGTTCCTCTAGGGGCCGTCCGGTTAACTAGTATTGAGTTTTTGATTTCTGGCTTTGTCCTTGTGAACTCTGGTTAAAAACGGCTTTTTTTATCTATATGAAGGTTTGATGATCTTTTTGGACATTGAATGGTGTTTGCTGCTTTTAGGAGTTTTGCTCCCATGTTTTGATGCTGATTTCGTGTTGGAAAAACATTGTGTTTAAAGTCAACAATGCTCTTTTTAGACCACTGAATAAAATTGTTTTTTCCATTTGTTTTTTAATCTTTTCAGATTCTGTCTGTTATCCTTCCTTTTTATCTTGTGAATTTAACATTACGATGTTTTAATATTTTAATTTAGAAAGAGCAGTATGTTTCACAGTAAAATGAAAATGAATAGAGAAGATGAAAATGAATAGAGAAGAGAATTCTCCACGTTCGCTGCTATGTATGATGCATGTATGTTGATATCGGAATGGAATGGGGGCTCTCTAAGAATATTATCGACCCGAAAAGGAAGGCATTTGGACCGACTCACCCGTTTAGAGATTCTGCTACTCAAAGCCGAACAGAGAACGGCTGGGTGAAGATGGATACCGAATACGATTATTATATTAAAAAATATATAATACATTTTTTTAAGTGTTTTAGCACGAGAGTTGATGACCAATGGAGAAAAGGATGGCAACGGCAATGACAATCAATTCTTTGTGGTGTGTTTGTGTGCAAGCATATTCGGGAGTTGATGAATAGGAAGCAAATGAGAGACTCGAAAGGTATTTTTCGTTTTTCATTCCACGTCTCGATTTTGTTACGAAAAAATAATCCCATGTTGTAGCAGGTAAGATATGGTGAAGAAGGTTGCTGATATTTTATGAGATTGATACTCGCATTAATAACATGAGTCAGGTTGATTAAGGGCCAAGTTCTCGGCGTAAATGTGACTACGATCAAACAATTTTGGGCCCCAACTAGGACTTATGGTGCATTTATTGGTTTTTTCATGAAGATTTTTGTTTCTTTGATTTTGTTAGGCTAAGTGGCTCACATCTAATTGGATGATAAGCTTCACTGCAATTTTTCAATTTTTTTTTTTTCAAATACTAATTACATTATTTTGTTATTATATATTTTTATAATATATTAATATAGTTATTTAGACTTAGGGGTGTATATTTATTGTAGGTTGAGATATATTTATTTTGTAGGTAGCAAATAAATGCGCCATGATAAAAAAAAAAAAAGAAAAAAAAAACTCACAACATGAATAAAGGTTGATAGACAAAAACACCGTTTGTTTTTAAAACGAGAGTTGACAAGCACAAATCCATGAAAAAAAGAATCTTAGTTCACCGGAGGAGGCAGACGGTCCATAGAGGAACTCCTAGTGGACTATCTGTCAGCAGTTTCAAGAGGTGGGCCGCCAGAAGCCATTCTTTTGAAGCTTGGCACAAATTCTCCGGCTGCCGGTGGTGGTTGTGGTGCCTCCACAGGTGGCGACTCAGAAGTAGTCTTAGGAGGAGCAATTGGGGTATTTGATGGTGTGGACCTTCCCAGTATTTCTTCCCTGCGTTGCCTCTCTTTCTTCTCCAACTCCCTCCCCCTCTGCCTTTGCTTCTTGGCTATTTCATCAAGCTTTGCTTTTCTCTCACCTTCTTCTTTCTTTCTCCGCTCATCTCTGCCCAACACGTCAAATTACTATGTAACCAAATTTATGAAAAAGATGCTATCTTCATACTGAAAAGGAAATTGGTTTTAAGCATGCGTGCTTCCTACTCTTCATGCAACCTTCTCTGCCTCTCCTCTTCGCATCTCAAGAAAAAAACCAACTTACTATTGGCCTCGCGTTCCTCTTTCCATTTCTGGATAATACTTGCCACCATTTTTTCTCGATCGGCCTTAAGCCACTCGTATTTGGATTTCCGAAGGTTCAACACTCGTTCTTGGAATATTTTCTGTCAAACGTAGCCAAAATTAGCAGACATCCTTAGATTTTTCAGTAATTCCATAACACTTCTCTACAAGTTTTGTAATTGCACGGAATCTTCATGAAGAGTTAGTTATCTGATTATCCCATAAAAAGTAATGAAAGAAGACCAGATATTGAGCAAGGAAATGAAAAGGTACAAAAACCTTGTTTTCCAACATCCTGCTTAGGACGCAGACTCGCAAGACTGAGGGGCACAAACGTAACATTTACAAAGTGTAAAAAGAAAAACAGTATATTTATTATATGCATGTTTTTATATATTCTATCACTCATAATTACATAAATTCAAATCTTAATAAATTTATCTTTTCAAAATACCAATATTTTTTTCTTTTGTATTTTGGATATTCTTACGACGTCAGCATTCATGGACTTCCTTATAAAGATAAATATTTTTTTAGTTAAAAAATCAACGACAAACACAATTTAGTAGATAATTTTAAACTTATAATTATAATTTTAAGACCACCTAAAATTCAATATGTATCAAAATCAATGTTGGTTTTTGTGAAAAATCGATATAACTCATATATTACCTACAACATAGTACAAATAGAAAATGCAAACCACTTAAATTTTGAGAAAATCTCTTTATAATTATTTTACAAGATAATTATATATGTTCAAAAAATTGCACAGGGTCCCATGTCCCTACGGCCCCTACCTCCGTCCTCCCCTGCCTACTTAGTCTCCATTTTTCCTCCACATCTCCAGCATGTCGCTGTCTGCTTGCATCAGCTTCTCTCTTTTTCAAGATTAAATAAGATAAGCAAATACACTATCACAGAAAAACACACACAATTCAAAAATCATTCCATAGCAATGCAAACCGAACCGCATTGAAATATTTGCGATTTTCCAAAACCCAAATCGCACCATCAACCGAAGTCTTCAAAAACCGCACCGAATAGCTCGGTTCGGTTCGAATTTTTCAATTTCGGCTCGATTTTGCTTACTCCTAGCGAGAAATGTTTTGATATCACCCCTCTATGCCACCACCCCCGCATCATTTTCCCTCCAATAAATCGACGCCAGAGTCACACAATAGAGGCAACATGCATCCAACTGAAACATTGCAACAGGTCAGAGTGAAATATAGGTGAGGTTAGCAAGTCATAATCATGGGTTGGAATCTATATCTATATATATATTAAACTGAAGCAGCTGGAAAAAAATTTATTTTCCCTCCCATTTTATATTAAATGTTACTCATTAATGGTTTGATAAAATCAATAAATATTGTCTAAAAATTAAAAGTCTTATTGGAATTGTGTATAATAGATAATAATATTATTGGGAATGTTGAATAAACTGATAATTGTTTAGAATGTTGTGCTAATTCTACACATCTCTATACAACTAATAATTAGATCAAACAAAAAAAACATAATGATTAATGTCAAATTTTCTATTAATTGTCCTCAATGGACTATTTCTTTAAATTTTTAAAACCTTCCACTTTGGATATTTTAAATTATAAAACTATATTATGTTTACATTATAAAACCACAATATAAGAGCCTAATGTAGTCTTAATTTAGTTATACATGTTTCACAATTGTGGGTCATTTTGAAATTGTAAATTCGTAACCACATAATATAAAACCTAACATATATTTAATTATAATAATGCAGTAAAATAAAAGTTTATAGAATTTAAAAGATTAAAAGACATCATTTTTATAGGATGTCTTTATGTTTAATTCATTGAGTAAAATTTTCACTGCAAAAAATCATAAAAAAACTAAACAAAAAATTATAACATATTAACAATTATTCTCAAAATTAAAAGTATATACATATCTATCTATACAATTGAAATATCAATAAAAAGTATTTTTCTTTCAAAACTTTATTTATGTTTATGAGATCGACATATTTGTATTGAAACATATTATACATATAAACAAAAATAGAAAGAAGATACAAAGAGAAAGCAATGACAAAAATAATAAAGTTAAATTTTACATGTAGTTAAATTAGAAGAGACATAATGTTCAAAATAAAAAAAATAAAAATGCATCTATAGGTTTTTTTGGGTCAAGGTGTAAACCAAGTGAAAATAGGTCTAAAAAATTGCGGATAACCTACTTGGGAAGTAAAATTTTTGGATTTAGGTTTTATAACCATAACAATAGAATTAAATTTATACATAATAACGCATTGGAAACTTCACTCCAATTTTCATGGTCAAATAAATTTGAAACAAATTCGTCAAATTCTATGTAGACCAATATAATGCGGCAAAATAAAAGCTTATAGCATAAAAACTGAAAACCTAGCAGTTATAGATAATTCAAATAATATCAATATATTGTTTCTTTTAAAGGCTAATTTAAAAATATTATTATTGTAAATTTTCAATCCAATTTTTCATTTACATTTTTCCTATCTTCACAAATGATTATTAAATTGTTCTTATTGATTGGTGGACCAGTCCAAGTTTAATTATAACCTCATATTTATTAAATATATCCATATTTACTTTTTCAACCGATCGATAACTTAAAAAGAGAAAACGTGACGAAATAAATTCCAAAAAAAATCTATTAAAATATTTAATTCTTAAAGAGTTCT